GCAGTCCCCATTTCTATCAATGTTTGATCCCAGGTATGAGAATCCTTTGATTATTTCTATTTCCTCATTGCCTATACATCCATAGATAATGACGGAGATTACCATAGCTTGGATGATTATAACTTTCGTGCTCAATTGTATATTTTCGCTCCTTAAGATATTGTCTTATGGCTGTCCTTCCCATTTCTAGCGTTCTTCTTATCTCTTGTCTGCAATCTCCATTCTGTTTGATCCAAGGTATGAGAAATCTTCAACTCTTTTGATTTTCTCATTGTTTAGTTTGAATGTATGTAGATCCTTTAAATCAACATATTTAAGCATGGGCAGCCCACACAAATCCTTTAATACTGGTGTTCAATATTATAGGATTTTAATCTATAAAAGAAAATGAGAGTAGAGAGTGGAGTGAGATCTAATGGAAGGGATGAGATGATGGGGTCTCACTCAGTCACCACCAACATTAACCTCATGAGAAGCTGCTGTATTATTTATTTGTTATATTTTTATCCAGCTGAAAATGAGGTTTTCATTATGCCCCTCTGGGCAAAAGGAAAAAGTGTAACCAGACATGATCTGACACTATTCACAGTATGATATATTTGAAATATCACAGCAGATAAACATGGTATCCACTAGTCTATGAGATGAAGGAGATGAAGAAAAGACAATTTCTAATAATAATAATAATAATAATACAGTGCAAAGGTTAAAATGCAATGTAGAACAATTTGGATTAGATTTAGAGTATTAGAAAAATTGAGCTCTTTACATCCATCATAGGAGACTGTGTGGTATTGTGGTTTGAGTCTTGAACTGGAGACCAGGGTTCTAATCCCAGCTCAGCCATGGAAACCCAGTGGGTGACCTTGAACAAGTCACACTCTTTCAGCCTCGGATGAAGGCAAAGCAAAGTCTCTCTGAATAAATCTTGCCAAGAAAACCCTGCCTTTAGGGTCACCATAAGCTGGAAATGGCTTGAAAGCACACAACAACAATATCCATCCATCACTATATTTACAGCCCAGTCCCAGCTCAAGGTGATTTACAAAAAAAAGGGCAAACATTACAATAAAAAAACACATGGATTTATGAGAAAATCGTTACTTACAATAAACAAAATTAGCCATGGTCAGCTCTTCATACAACTTTAATTTTTAAACCCCAGTCTTCCGACTGATGGTGGCTCATAGGTTAGTGGGTAATGAATCTACTCTGGGCTAAAGTTAGAACTTTAAAACTGCAGGAATAGGATTCTGCATCTCCATTAATGTTCAGATTACAACCTGGAGTAGATTCACTGCCGCTGTTTAGTCCCCTAGTTAAACATTTCTCAGTTTCTAGCTTTCTAACCATGTTTGACCTAATATCTGCAGAAGATAGATTTATGGCTACTTACCTGCCCCAAGAGGAAGGTTTCTGAAGATGAGGGATGATTGGTCCAGGAAAAATTCAGGTAGGGAAATTAGTCTGGGGCTGAAAATATCGAAGGAAAACATAAAACAAAATAGTGAAGTCTCAGCTTCACTAGGGGATAATGAAATAAAATAAAAGAGATCAAGGTATATTCAGAGCTGTCACTAAGGCAAAAATCTAGCTCAGGAAAAAAGTTCTCTGTGTAAAAATCAGATGGAAAAATTTGACTAAAGAGGAGCATTCTAGTTTCCCCAAAAGGAATAACAAAAGTTAATCAGCATTGTGTGAGAGTCTCAGAGGAGGGCAACCAAAATGGTGAAGGGTCTGGAAACCATGCCCTATGAGGAGAGACTTAGGCCTTGTTCCCACTATGATTTAAAGCAAATTGCTGATTGGGTTATATGACCATTGTTCCCACTTGAAACCGGTTCCGATCCTATTGAGTTCAGTTGCAATCATGATGAAGCGAGGCAAACGCAAAAACCCACTGTTTTCTGACACTAGTTTTTTGGCGGTTCTTTTGAAAATAATTGATTCCGAAGTGTGTTCAACGAGTGGGAATGATGGATCTGAATCACATCATTCTGGAGGAGAGGGACTAATGGCAGAGAGGTGTTTACCATCCCTCCTCAGTTTTTGG